ATTGATATATGAACTTTTCTTATATTTCACTCAGAACTGTTTCAAGGTATGTTTAACCACGTATTGTCATTGCTCGATGATTCTATGTTTTAATAGTATACTCTGCTCTTTTGTTATTGGCATCATTTATTAATGTGCTGCTGTAATGTTTCATAAACTTCTCTTCTACATGAATTATGTCTGAGACTTACGTATCAAACGAAAAATCAAGTACGATAATTATGTCAGTGTATTTGTGTTATATTTGCACACTCATCGATACTTTCCTACAGCTTCGAAAACAACAAATACATTGCTCGTTCAAGCAATGGACATTTTCCCCCTGTCTACCCTGGACCGATTGTTCCATTTGCAATATAAATATACTACGTCTTTGACCGTGCTATTGGTAATACTTTATTGCTAATTTGACACAGATAAGGACTTAATTAAGTTCTGGAGACCAAGATTTATCGGAAAACAAATGAAGAGAAGAGACTTTCACTATAGTACAATTTGAACCCGCCATTTAATAGATCGCCATGTCAAAATGACTATGATTTATATCCGGAAAATTGACGGAAAATATTGTTGGTTTTACATTGTCCATTGAAGTGTTATTCTCTAATAATGGATCTAACTAGCTAATAATTGATCAAATCAGTATAAAAGTTATTATTTATTGTTCGGCTTTCGAACTAATAAGATCAGGTTAACGTATCTGATTTTTTGTCAGTCGATAAAACCATTGTTAGTTCCTGCTCCAGACCACTAGGATGTTTCTGCAACTGAAACAAATATATGTCGTAAATATTAAATGATTTTCATTTACTATAAATAGTTACGATTTATCAGACATAAATGTATATATGTCTCTTGATTTATCGAAACAAACTTAAGCATTTTATTGACAAAATGCTATCCAAAAACCAATATATATATGGTCAAGTACTATTATTTGTTTTGGTGATAAAGACTGTATAAGTTGGATGACAGTTTATGTTAAACAATGGAAAATATGTATTTAACCTAATGACCAAAATATATACAGGGGTCTTGTTCTTTCCAAGTGGTAATTTTCAATATGATGTTGGTGATTATATGACATACTGTTCAAAGATGTCATAAGGGAAACAAAATATGACCCTCATTTTAGTCTTTCAGTCGCTGATGTGACCTTGACATTTGACTCAGTGACATCAAAATCATACGGATCTTCATCATACCATGAGGTATCATCACGCCAAGTAAAGTACGAGTTTGACAAAAGGTTCATAAAAACATTGGGAAGCCAAATCTTTGCCCTAATTTCACTGGCAATAGCTCTTCTTGTCTTAAGCCTTTTGGTTCGTTTTTTTCTTCTCACCCCATGGGCATTGTCAAACTAAGTTACTTTAATATATTGTTGAGGGGTGAATTTCTTTTTTACCAGTCACCACAAATGTTGATGTTCGGACAGCATTGTTCACATTATTCATAAGTCGAGTTTGACTTTGTTGCAACTCATTAAATAATGAAGAACAGAGGTAAAACTAGGAGCAGGATCATGAAACTAAGCTTGTGACCTGCAATTTCTATCTAAATATTCCACAAACTTATTTAAATGGGTGACCTTGACATTCAAGCTGGAGAATCTGACCTTATAAACAACACTTTTGCTGGTGCTTGTAAATAATTATACAAAGAAGCTTTGCTACAAAGTTTAAAACACAATTTATAAAATAAGCGTTTGTCTATTCATCTTATATGTGGGTGAGTCTTAGTCTTACTTATGTGTACCCAATCTTATTGTACTCTTACATATTAAACTGTTTAACTGCACATGACACATGTTTCTAGAACAATCTTCATCAAGTACGCTCAAAACTAAAACTTTTGGAATTTGACTACATAGAATATTTGAAGAAATTCAAAACCAAAGGGTTTTAAATGACAATTTTAACCATCTAAGGTCAACTATGCCCGACGAGAGTTGCAACCTTAGTTTTAGTATACTTACATGATTATTAACTAAACGTTTACAATCATACTGTATCATTTTAATCAGGCTAGTAAAGAAGCACAATGTTAGGGAAACGGTAGCCTTGATGACTGGTAATCCACTAAAGGATGCAAACAAAGAGGTAATAAAATGAACACGATACCGCATTCAATCAATAATAACTGAATTTCTGACTTACACAGTCATTTTGATCTTAACATATTTTTTTGTTGTAAATTCAGTATTGTTAAGACATTTTGCTTGTAGTCAATTCAGTACTTTTCACACAATTTAGCATTTTGTTATATACAGGTAAACAACCACTACTGAACAGTACAACCACTACTGAACATATCTTAATTGACTGTGAGAGAATCGTTTGAACAGTACTGAATTTACCCCAGTGAATATGTCTGAAAATCAATTGAGAGACTGAACATGACTTAATGGTGGACTAGGATGAAAAATTGTGTCCTGCATTTTTTTTAGTTGTAATCTCGGTCCTGCCTTTTTATTTTTCACTTTATTCAGTCCTGCCTTTTTTTTTATTAGTTTATCCTGACTTTTTATACATAATTTGTCATCCTACCTTTTTTTTTGCCAAGTTGCTCATCCTGCCTTTTTTTTTACTCAAAACTTCTATCCTGCCTTTTTTTCAAATTTTATCCTAGCCAACCCCCCCCCCCCCCCATAAAAATCAAATGGTAGCTCCCTTATTGTGAGCCAGTTACTTTTGATTTGCTTATGTTACTCTAAAATGGCAATCCTGTTATTAGTGAACAAACAAAGTTTTATCATCAAACTGAATGCAGTAATCATGATATAAATGGGCATAACTTGTATACATAGGCTTAGGGAATCCTTCATTTGTTTATGCCCATTAACTTAGCTAAAAATTCCGTTTTATTCTGCAAATACCTTGATGATGCCACCAAGTAATGGTGTACGATCATACAAAGTATCATCATTAGGCTTTGATTGGTATTCAAAATGCAAAGTAGGCAAGATTTTAGACAAATGCATGTAAGAGAAAAATAGTTTTGAAAACAATAATAAAAATCATTTTCAATTTCATCCATCTTTTCCAATGTTAAGCTTTGTTGTACTGACAATGCAATATTTTAAGTTTATAAAAGAACCTATAAGGCATAGGTTAAAGGATACCCTAGGTCTATGTATAAAACTATGTCCACTTTATATCATGATTACTGCATGAAGTTGATTGATTATACATTGTATATAAAAATAAGGAGATGTGGTATGGTTGCCAATGAGACAACTGTCCACCAAAGTTCAAATGAAGTGTATGTAAGCAATTATAGGCAACCCTACGGCCTTCAACAATGAGAAAACCCCATACCGTATGGTTGGCTATAAATGGCCCCGACATGAAAAATATTAAACAATTCAATTGAGAAAACTAACAGCCTAATTTATAACAAAACAATTTACAAAAAACAAATATGACAGACATGAACCAACGACAACCACTGAACTGTAGGCTCCTGACTTAGGAGTGGCACATAAAGAATGAGGCGGGGTTAAACATGTTTGTGAGCACTCAACCTTCACCCTAACCTGGGACAGTGGTGTAACAGTACAACATAGGAACAAACTATAATAAAATGCTCCGCTGGGCGCAGCTTGATACGACTGCAGAGGTCGAACCCTGAACAGTTGGGGCAAGTATGGACACAACATTCAAGCTTGATACAGTTCTGAATTTGGATTGTGATTAAATATTTCACACAGCATAGGTTTCTGACACAGAATGAATGTGGTCTAAGAACTTAAAAAAATTTTAATTTACCTATTATGGTCCAATATCCAAAATCTAAATACATACACGGTTAGATTCAGCATATCAAAGAACCCCATTATATCAATTTGTTTACGATTCATCACCCCAAACTCAATCCCAGCCTTCCCTTTGTGGTATAGTACCTTGCAGTACAATTTCAGAGAGATCCATACACTTGAACACAAGTTATTGTCTGGAAACTATAAAAATGCTTGTTTTTTGGCCCCTTTTTGGCCCCAAATTCCTATACGTTTAGGGCAATTACCCCAAAACTCAAACCCAGCCTTTCATAAAGATCCATACACTTACACACAAGTTATTGTCCCGAAACTAGAAAAATGCTTGTTTTTTCCCCCTTTTTGGCCCCTATTTCCTAAAATTTTGAGGTAATTTCATAGAGATCCATTCACTTAAACTAAAGTTTTTGTCTGGAAACTAAATGCGTCTTCGGACGACGCAGACGACGACATGATAGCATTATACGACGCAAAAATGTTTTTGCAGTCGAATAAAAATCAGTTGAAAAAGGCTTAACTCATCAGATGGATACAAATAGAAATACATCTAACAAAAACACAGTGTGGACGTGGACGGGTACTTGTACATCCCCACAACAAAAAGACACTAAGTACAGATCTGAGAGTACTCACAGTTACTGACAACTATTCACTATTTACATACAATCATTGGCTATCATACCCCATCTCCTATTTTTATAACAATGAACCCTTTATATGCAAATAAACAATTAAAGGTAAGAACTCCATTATTTCCCTATCATTCCATTTGGAACATTTACATCATCTAATGATAAGGGTTTGATGAAGTAAAATTTGAGACTAATAGAGTTTGCAAATAGTATAATAATAAATATAGAAATTGCAGCAGTCTTTTAGACACAGTAAATTGGTAATGATGGTAGAAATAATCAATCCAGGTTAGGTACGGGATGAGCACTAATAAACATGTTTAACCCAACCATATTCTTTATGTGCCTGTCTCAAGTAAGAAACCTGAAATTAAGTTGTCGTTTGTTCATGTCTGTCATATATGTTTTTCGAAAATTGTATTGTTATAAATTAGGCCTTAACAGTAAGTTTTCTCGTTTGATTTTGTGCACATTTTTCATGATGGACGCCTTTTACAGCAGACTATACAGTATCAGTTTTTCTCATTGTTGAAGGTCATACAGTGATAAAAGCCATAAAAATTGCAGGCTGAGGAATAAAAAGAGCTAAAATCTTTACAATAGTGTATTTACTCTCACAATACAATTACAATGTCCCATTCATAATATCCATCACACTTCTGCCATTCTTAACATTGTCCTACCTAGACAATCAAAGTTTCCAAAGGCATTCACAACAGGAAAAATTAACATTGGACAGGAGGTCTGAATAGATATAATTAAACATGCGATCTTTGCTGTGAAAATGCGTGAAGTTCCAGAAAGGTACTGCCCTATTTAGAGATTTTAAAATTACAGTTTCCTAAATAATGTCTGACCACCAAAGTTATTCACAATATTACGTTTTTGTAGATGCAGATAAAAAATAGAGTTTCTCAATTATTATAAAATTCTATCAAAAAAATCACAATATGTAAAATTTATAACAATCGTGGCTTTTAATAAAATAAATAAAATAGGAGTGTTGTGTAACAATTTTTAACGGAAATCATAAAATTTGTTAGCTATTTTAAATATTCTATACAAAACTCAATTAAACTATCCAAATTATAAATGAAATAGTGATAGCAATGAAACGATGTACTCAAATTCCTTTTCTGACAACATTCCTATCTCTCACACATTTGTCATTCATACACAGTCGAGTATGTGGAGGTTAAAATTGTAATATATATATGCTGTATACAAGTTGTTATTTTGTACAGATTTTTTGAACAAGTTATTATTATTTTGAAACCAGCTTTATTTCACCAGGTGATACAAATTTTCTTGTAATAACCAGCTTGATGTTTTACTCCAAATTGTACATACATTCATAAATGTATATACATCAATCTAACATTAAGTATCGTGCTCGTTGGCATAAAGAAGCAAATCAGGAAACCAGCCCGAGTTGAACTCTTTATAAATATTTTTCTTTAATACCAGATTTTAAGTTCCCAGAGTCCTTATAAAAACTTAAGTTTATGTCCTGTCAGAAAAACACTGAAAATATTCGATTGTTCATGGTTTTGATAGATTTTTCATGAATATTCCTGTCTGATTTGCTTATATATTCTTATATTCAATATTCATATACACAATAAATTTAACATTTATTACACATATAGAAAAGGGTTTGGTGTTTTGAAATAATATAACAATAGCTGATATATTCGCTTAGCCATTATCCGATTGTACATTTATTTCACATATAGGAAACGGTTTGGTGTTTTGAAATAATATGACAATAGCTGATATATTTGCTTAGCCGTTATCGGATTAGGTGGAGTCTACTGTATCAGTGTTATGTAAATATGACAGTCATAAGCAGAATCAAAGACAACATTCTTATGTTATCCAATCATTTCAAGAGGTTCATAAAATTGTGATTAATTTTACAAATACTCAGTACATATTATTTGTTGTACAGAATTATAACTTGTACACAACATTTATATACACACACAACTTTTAATAAATAAAATTTCTAAAAGCCCTTTTGCATTTCTGCTCTTACAATGAAATGTTTTTTTTTGGTAAAGTATGTCACTATCCTTGTAGGTATAAAAATAGGTTACCAATATAATTTAAATTCTCAATTTATATTTAGGGAAGATTTTAACTTCACATGTTTTCGTATCAATTTTTCTGGAAAAAGGCTTAATTATAATATTGGCAAAATTTTTGTATGATTATACCAATAGACTTAAAAACAAATTTGTTCATAATTCCAACTAACAAAACAACTGTTTTTTTCCAATATTTAAAAAAAGTCCCAATAGTTTTACAACATTATTCACAATAAAATCTCTTTCTAATCCATGATCTTGGCACCACTTTAATGCAAAGAACCAGACTTTACATTCTTTCTGTACAATTAATGGACTGCTCATGCTATAAAATCTAAAGGACGGTTGAATCCTCCTCTTCTATTCATGTACTGTCTGTAATATAAATGACAAGAAATTTCAATTAGACTTATTTAAAATATATTAAAACAATAACATTGAAAAGTGTTTCAATATACTGATCCATGAATAGTCTAGCTAATATTTTCTGTGACTTGATTGTAAATGTGGTATGCCATTCAGTCTTTGCATTCAGATAAAATGTTTACCAGATGGAATCTTTCAATCAAATTGATCCATTTGGTAAAATATTTTTACTACAAGAAGACCCCAGCAAGTTTTCAATGTAAATAGTGCAAATGCAAATTCAAAATAAAACAATAATTACAGTTCCTAAGGCTGTCTATAAGACTTTCATTTTGATAAGGTGGTAAATTGATTGCATGATTATTGGTGTTTTATTCCACTTTCAGCACTGTTGGCTACACTGTGGTAGCCAGCTTTTATTAGTAGAAGAAGCAGGGGTGCCTTGAGAGAACCATGACCTTTATCAAAAAAACTGACAAACCTGATCAATTAAAATTGAAGTTGAACACACCTGCCATATGCAAGGTTCAAATCCACACCCTCAGTGTTAACAAGCTAGTGATACAGTAGATGAACTATTTAGACCACTTTGGCCAAAATGTCCAGTTGTGAATTAAATGAATGAATGAATCTTTATTGCAAAAGCATGAAATTGCTATGGCAAAATTAACAACATATATTACATAATATAAATCATAGATAGACAGCAGAAAACAATAGTAAAATATTATGACAAATGGAAAGTTATGAGACTATATGAGATCTAATATCCCATGCAGTTTTTATATTATTACATAATTTGATAGTGAGAGACTTACTAGATGCTTGAAGTAAATACAAAAGTTTATGAATATTAGCCAAAGAACAATAATACTTTGGTAAAAATGGTGTTCGCACACTTCTATAGGCTGGACAAACAAGAACAAAATGGTATTCAACTTCAATAAAACTCATTTTACAGCATTTACATAAACGATTTTCTCTCTGAATATTATTGATTGATAGTTTACTAATTGTAAAGTCTGAGGAAGGGCAAGATTCATATTAACATTGTGCTTTTGAAAAAGGCTTTTACCTTTCATTATATGACATTATTGCGAACCCAATGAAAGTTTTCCACAGTGCCATCTCTATCTTGACCAGGTATTTAAACTTTTGCAAGTTCACCTGTCCTATTGAATAAATACAATAGCTATTGTTCTCTGTGTAGTTTATTCTCTGGGACCTTTAAATTTCTTCTAAGAGAAATCTATCATTCATTGATTAAATTACCTGAGTAAAAAAATTATCTTATATAGACAAAAATACTTTTTTTATACTCATTAACTGCGTGTGATGATGTATTTATTCAATATTAATAATATATTTTCATTCAGTTTCATATAAACATTGATTCAATCATAAAAAGTTGATTTCTAACAAAAGTTTTATCAATGTTCCTATTAAAATTTGATTTTTTTTTGGTTTAGTTATAGAATACATTTAAGAAGATCTTAATTTGAAACATCATAATTTTCAAGTTTTTATTCATGTCAAACAAATTTTTTTTTAAAAAGGAACAATGTTGAAAGTTTTGTCAGAAATCAACTTTTTATGATTGAATCAATGTTTATATTAAACTGAATGAAAACATATTATTATAATATTGAATAAATACATCATCACACGCAGTTAATGAGTATAAAAAAAGTATTTTTGTCTATATATAAGATAATTTTTTTACTCAGGTAATTTAATCAATGAATGATAGATTTCTCTTAGAAGAAATTTAAAGGTCCCAGAGAATAAACTACACAGAGAACAATAGCTGTTGTATTTATTCAATAGGACAGGTGAACTTACAAAAGTTTAAATACCTGGTCAAGATAGAGATGGCACTGTGGAAAACTTTCATTGGGTTCGCAATAACAGGGGTGTTTAAGCACCTTGACTACCCCAGAGAGTCTTGAACAGTCAACTTTGAAAATAGCAATTGGCTGGACAGTTCTAAGTTGTGATATGATTTCATTCATTGAAATATAGTACATTTGAAACAGATGAAATTTTCAGCTCATTGTAAAAGGATGTGTTTAGTATAAAGAAGTGTTATTAGAATATTCTTAACAGCCATGAGGGTCTGGATGGGGGTTCTTAATTTCTTTATATCTTGAATTTTTGTTATCCTTCTTAATTTTTTCTTAATTTTTTCTATCATTCTCTATTCTTTGTATTTTATCACTCTAAGTATAAATAAGAAGATGTGGTATGAGTGCCAATGAGACAACTCTCCATCCAAGTCACAATGTATAAAAAGTAAACAATTATAGGTCAAAGTACAGGTCTAAGAATGATTAACATTGATATAACATACCTATATCTTCTTTTCTTTGGTAAATAGGCAGCATAAGAATCATTTCCATCCACTTTTTTATTCTGAAAAACAAATATGAATATCATAACAAAGCACTATAGTACATACATCACTTTTTCCGAGATGTGGATAATTTTATTTGGTTTGACATATGTGTCTTTCATTTGTAGTAAGGGTCATCATTTTAGACAGACATAAATTATTCATGCTCTTTCATATTCTTTTACTCAGGGATGATTTCAGGTGTTTTCAAACGGGTCCCTTGACCATCAAATTAGGAATTTTCATTCCAATTGGGAATTTTTTATGCATAAAATCTTAGACGGAAAATGTATCAAGTTTTACCTGCCCCTGCTATTAGAAGTTGTAACATTTGGAATAATCCTGGACAGGCTACTGATTATAATATATATATATATATATATGATTACCAGATTGCTTGACCTTTAGTGGATTGAGACCAGGGAAGTTGTAACATGAAGATCATTGCACATAATGCACTATCTTTTGTAGACTTGCATCTTAGCTATGGTGACCTTTTACATATATCACAGCTATCAAAACCCACTGAAAAAAATCATCCATTGGGTAATTTTTTCAACAACAGGTCATCTTTATAAATTTACCTTGATTTAAATGGATTTCAAATTGAACTGGTCAACTGTTGAATTCAGAAAAGCAATTACAAAAGTTTTAGTACTTTATTGATAAAATATTTTTGTGATTTTTGATAGCTGTTTAATACGTAGAAGGTTTCAAAAGTTTTACTTTGAGTGTAACCTTAAGAAACAGAAAATTTAACCATTGAACCATTGTATTATAATATTATTTGGATCATCTTCAGAACTTTTGAAACAGTTCCTTATATAATGTGTCATGTCATCATCCTATTTCATGAATGATCTATCATCAAGATGTACTTTTAAAAACACTCAGACAGTCAGACTTTTGTCTTGAGGAAAAATAGAGCCAGAAAAATTATAATTTTTTTTTTATATAAAACAAATTTCCATTATATTATATAACTGATCTGCTTTTATGATATCAGCGCCCATTAAAATTCATCAATGTTATATCATAATTTAGCTTTTACTCTCCGACGAGGTCTGCTTTCACGAGACCCATTTTGACAAAAAGCATCTGTTTTATCGACCTGCTGGGCGATCTGCTTTTACAATAGTCCCAATAATTATGAAGTCTTGAAAGGCTATTTTCATTTTTTGATGTTGTAGGAAGGAGTCACAGCAAAAAATTAAAATAGCCTTTAAAGATGTCATAATTATTTGGACTACTTTTAAGAGATCGAATACTCCCATAGCATTTTCGTCAACTGTTTCTGAGGGTCTGATTCCGCTGCTAAATAACTGAATCATTGTTAACAAAATGCGATTGTTGAAAGCATTCTTATATTGATTTTAAAACACTTCGACAAAACTATGAAAATTATAGTTGCCTAACTCAGTGACAGAAGCATTTCCAGAAAGATAGATTTTTTTTTCCTGAATTGGGAATTTATGTTCACATTAATTTTTTTTGGGCTGCCAATTGATTTTAGAGTTACTCAGAGGCCCTAAACTATAGAGTAGAGTCATCCCTGTTACTGAATGTTCTTTATAGAAATTCAAGAAGTGATGTGGCTGACTGAGAAGATGAAATGAAAAGATATAGTTCAATCTCTTTGCAACTTGTACAAAACACTTGATATAGTTTACATTATATGTGAACAGAACTTTTAATTTAGAAATGTGTAATGGGGTAATTAAAGTTTAAAATCAATATGTGTCTGCATTTGTGAAGAAGATGTAAAAAATAATTGTAGCAATTAACCTGTTTTGTTATACTATTAATTTTATTGATTTTTTTATGTTTAGGTGGTAGATTTAAGGGGATAACTCTTCAAATCAGTCATATGTTTATGTGTTAGATCTGTTTTAAGTGAGATAACTCTTCAAATCAGTGATATGTTTATTTTTAGGTGGTAGATTGGGGTTAAGGGAGATCACTCTTTAAATCAGTAATATGTTTATGTTGAAGTAATAGATCTGAGTTAAGGGAGATAACTTTTTAAATCAGTAACATGTTTATATTTAATCTGTTTTGTCAATGCTTTTAAAGCACTCATTTGTTAGCGTAGTTTAATAAAATAACAAAAAAGGGTTGAAACAAACATACAAGTTTTTAAAATATAAATAAGACGATGTGGAATAATTGCCAATGAAACAAAAATAGACAGCAATGAAATGAAAAAAAAAACCACTTCATTTATTTTGTGCTTTCGAAGTACTTTTCAGGTTTTACCTTCATCAGGAAGTCTCAAACCAAAACATTTGAGAGCCAAGGATAAATAAGACCAAAACACATAAAGAGCTATATGACCAAAAGGGACTTAAAAATGAGAGGTATACCATAATGGTAACTTGTTGTAAAAGTTATTGTCTTTGTTAAACTTTTGAGTAATCTTTTGCCCATTCTACCCTTGTTTTAATGACAAATCCATGACGGCTATAAGTCACTGGATATAAAATAAGGTACTATCAAAATTCAACTTATTGCACTATATTGTCAAATGTAATAAAATCATTTAAGTTTATTTAGTGTACCTTTGTTGTATTAAATGATGCAAATCCCATTAACTTGGCCATCTGCTGCTCTTCTTCTGACATCCCTTGTAATTCCTGTGCTGTAAGGATATAAAATATATGAAAATAGGACATCTTTTTTGACACCATTATTAAAGACAGATATTGTGATATTAACTCGATGTAGAAAGTGAGTGCAGAAAAGGAATACAATGGAAGCTTATATTGCAGATCACGGTATGCATGACTTGGGGCAAATCCAAAGTTTAACATATGATTACAGCTGAAGGCCTTATATGAACCTAAATAGTTAGAAGATTTAATGTTTTTATAGAGTTGCTAATTTCCTGTCTCATTGATTTATACCAAAGTAACTAATGTCTCAATTTATTCCTATTGAGGTAAAAAAAAAAATGCTCATTTATAGCATGTTGAACCATTAATGATGATGCAATCCTCTTATGAACAAATGTATGTACATTCCCTTTTGTCTTCTTCCATGAAGAATTTTTTTTTACAATATCATATGAACAGTTATATTTATTTTTCTAAACTGTTTTTCCATAAATCGGGATGTTAGTTTTTTCATTTGAATTGTTTCACATTTGGCATGTCATAATAGAATAAAATGCTCCGCTGGGGCGCAGCTTGATACGACCGCAGAGGTCGAACCCTGAACAGTTGGGGCAAGTATGGACACAACATTCAAGCTTGATACAGCACTGAATTTGTATTGTAATTAAATATTTGACACAGCATAGGTTTCTCACACAGAATGAAAGTAGTCTAAGAACTTAAATTTTTTTAATTTACCTATTCAGACCATATCATTATTATTTGCTTTTATATATAAATCAGAAATAACCAATTTAAAATGGAAAATTTTAAAGAAAAAAAAGGAAAAAAAAATCCCCCCCCCCCAAATTTTTTGAAAACCCCCTTATGATTCATCACCCCCAAACTCAATCCCAGCCTTCCCTTTGTGGTATGGTACCTTGCAGTACAATTTCAGAGAGATCCATACACTTGAACACAAATTATTGTCTGGAAACTAGAAAAATGCTTGGGTTTTTTGCACCTTTTTGGCCCCAAATTCCTAAACGTTTAGGGCAATTACCCCCAAACTCAAACCCAGCTTTCCCTTTGTGATATGGAACCTTGCAGTACAATGTCATAAAGATCCATACACTTACACACAAGTTATTGTCATGAAACTAGAAAAATGCTTGTTTTTTTGCCCCTTTATGGCCCCTAATTCCTAACATTTTGAGACAATTACCCCCAAAAACAATCCCAGCCTTCCCTTTGTGGTATGGTACCTTGCAGTACAATTTCAGAGAGATCCATACACTTGAACACAAGTTATTGTCTGGAAACTAGAAAAATGCTTATTTTTGGCCCCTTATTCCTAAACGTTTTGGGCAAGTACCCCCAAACTCAATTCCAGCTTTCCCTTTGTGATATGGAACCTTGTAGTACAATTTCATAAATATCCATACACTTACACACAAGTTATTGTCATGAAACTAGAAAAATGCTTGTTTTTTGCCCCCTAATTCCTAAAATTTGGAGGCAATTACCCCCAAAATCAATCCCAGCATTCAAACCCTCAATCAGCATCATTTAACAGTAATATCTAAAAATGGAAATTACATAATAAAGGTATTAAAATAGAAAATGACATCATAGTCATGGCTAAAAATAAACAAAATCCTAAATCAGCAACATTTTACAGTAATATCTAAAAATAAAATTCCTTTGTAACCATAAAAGCCCATTTAAATACATCATGACAGATATTAAAATAGAAAATGACATCATAGTCATGGCTAAACATAGCAAAAACCTTAATCAGCATCATTTAACAGTAATATCTAAAAATAAAAATTTCTTTGCAACCATAAAAGGAAAATAGAAAATGACATCATAATCATAGCTAAAAATAAACAAAAATTTTTTTTATTACCAAATTTTAAATGGAGTTTATTAAACTAAAACAATAAATTTGCAACCATAAAACCCCATTTAAACACACATCATAAAAGTATTAAATAATTCAACTACATCATAAGGCTATAAAAATAGAAAATGACTTCATAGTCAAGGCTAAAGGTAAACAAAAAACCTTCATCAGCAAAATTTTATATTGGCAAATTTCCAATGAAGTTTATTATACTAAAATTGTTGGCAAATTTCCAATGCATTTATTAACAATAAAGTTATTGGCAAATTTCCAATTTACATAATTTAAAAGCAGTGTAAGTGAGATATTTAAATGAGTTTGAATTACCAACCTTACACTGCTTTTAAATAATGTTTTGTACTTATTTGTCTATTAACCTGGAAACCCTTGTTTTTTCACCTTTTTTTCCCTTATTATTTAAAGGTTTGAGCCATAACCCTACCCCAAAGCCAATTCTTAAATTCCAATGTAACCTAAATTTACAATATACATAACTTCAATTTAAGTTTTTGATAAAATCAAACCACATCATTATTATTTGCTTTTATATCTAAATCAGAAATAATTAACCAACTTTAAGTGGAAAATTTTCACACATCACGCCCCCCCAAACTCAATCCCAGCCTTCAGTTTGTGGTATGGTACCTTGCAGTACAATTTCACAGAGATCCAATTACTTAAACACAATTAATTGTTGGAAACTAAAAAAAAATGCTTATTTTTAACCCCATTTTTAGCCCCTTATTCCTAAACATTTGAGCAATTATCCCCCAAACTCAATTCCAACTTTCTCTTTGTGATCAGAATTAACCAACTTAAAATGGAAAATTTTAAAGAAAAAAAAAAGGAAAAAAAATCCCCCCCCCCCCCCCAAAAATTTTTTGACCCACTTCCCTTTGTGGTATGGTACCTTTAAGTACAATTTCAGAGAAATCCATACACTTGAACACAAGTTATTGTCTGGAAACTAGAAAAATGCTTATTTTTGCCCCCTTTTTTGGCCACTTATTAATAAATGTTTTGGGCAAACATTTTACAATAATATTTAAAACTGAAATTAATTTGTAACCTTAAAATTAAATAGAAAATGACATCATAGTCATAGCTAAAAATAAACAAACTATTGGTTAATTTCCAATGGAGTTTATTATATTAAAACAATAAATTTGCAACCATAAAAGCGCATTAAAATACATCATAAAAGTATTAAAAAAAATTTAACTACATCATAAGGCTATTAAAATAGATGAAAAAAAAATAATATTTGAAGAATAATTCTTTTTAATTTCTGAAATCTGAAATGAGAAAAAATTGGCCCCCCACAATTTCTTTTTATCCCCCCCCCCCTTTTCCCCCAAAAAAATTCTTTCCCTCAAGATATGGTCATAATCTCAATTCTAATTTCCAATGGAGTTGGCAACCATAATTACCCATTTAAATTTACCATAGTGCTAACTTAATCTATTGTATAATAGAATTAATAAAAATATAGTGTCAAATCTTTCATATGGATTTTTTTGTAAAAAAAAAAGATGAAAACATTTGCAGATATTTTTACTGGTCTTCCTTTATAAATATGCATTTCTTTAAACATAATTTAAAAGCAGTGTAAGGGAAGTAACCAAAACGTTGTATTTGGATTACCTCCCTTACACTGTTTTAGATTATCTTTATTGTTCATTAACCATTACTTTATACATAATTTAAAAGCAGTGTAAGGGAGATAATTTCAATGATGTATTTGATTTATCTCCCTTACACTGCTTTAAATTATGTTTTGTACTAAAGTATTTGTCCATTAACCAGGACAACCTTGTTTTTCCCCCTTTTTTGCCCCTAATTCCTAAACGGTTTGAGCCATAACCCCCCAAAGCAAATCCTAACCATCCCTTTGTGGTATGGAAACTTGTAGTATAATTTCAGAGAGATCCATACACCGTTCCACATTTATTGTCTGGAAACTAGAAAATGCTCATTTTTGGCCCCTTTTTGGCCCCTAATTCCTTAACTGTTGGTACCATAACCCCCAAAATCAATCCCAACCTTCCTTTTGTGGTATTTAACCTTATGGTCAAATTTCAAAAAGATCCATTCACTTAAACTAAAGTTAGAGTGCGAAAACCAATATGTATTCGGACGACGACGCCGGACGACGACGACGACGACGACGCCGGACGACGACGACGACGACGACGACGCCAACGTCATACCAATATACGACCACAAAATTTTTTTGCGGTCGTATAAAAACAAAGGGATATGGGGTATCCATCCATGACACAAAATCAGTACATGCATGGCTATTTATAGCTAACTATACAGTATGGGGTTTTGCTCCCTGTTGAAGGCCCTACAGTTACCTATAATTGCTTATTTTCACGTCATTTGGCCACTGTTAGATAGTTGTCTCATTGGCAATCATACAACATCTCTTATCTTATATAGGGCTATATACCAGTGTTCTTCCCAGAAATTTTGGATAGCATCACATTTGGCGTAAAAAAATAAACTGTATTTTTTTCAATGTCATTTGTCACATCGCACTGATGCTCTATTTCCTTTATGTTATGTTTATATTGTTCAAATCATAACTGAGAATACAATTAAACTTTAACCATGATAACAGTTGTTTCAGTTTATGTTTTCTATATTCATTTATAGTTACAGTATTATTTTTTTCCTCTTGGGCCAAATAAAAATATATGTGTGGTTCCAGTTACCCTACCTACTCAACTAAATGAATGAATGAATGAATGGTTTATTATAGTGCAACCTGTATATATACAATACTAAATATCTAGTAAAAAAAAAGAACTGGTTTTTATATAAAAAGGGAAGAGAAAGTATCATATAGCAATAAAATTTCATTTAAAAAACTTTTTCTTTATCATGTCTATGAAATTCATTGTTTCATGGTACTCAATGAATTAGTCCCAGTTGTTTCTTTATATCAAAATGATATATATTTTTAACAAAGTTAAGCTACTTTAATCAGTATATTGAAACAATGCATTTTCAAAAAGAATACATTTAGCAAGGAGATCTAATATCAAAATGATATATATTTTTAACAAAGTTAAGCTACTTTAATCAGTATATTGAAACAATGCATTTTCAAAAAGAATACATTTAGCAAGGAGATCCAACAAATAGTCTGTTAATGCGTGTGGAATGCGTAGTTTTCTCTTTTGAGATCATTTTTTCTGTCTACTGTGCCATTTGTGCATCTGTAGTTATAATTGAAAAAATGCGGATTTTTGTCATATCTGGTCCGGTTGTGATCCGTAGCTTACACAAATACTTCAATGATGGCCGAAGAAAAATTAACGAAAATAAACATTGTTTGACAAGAGATTGGGAATGAATATGACGCTTTTAATGCATTAAATGGATGAAACATTAACTAAAGCCAATTATGATCACTTTCTAAAGAAGTATCAAACTTATTTAGCTCAAAATCAAAATGTTTAATATACGCTCTCGATTAACAAGTACATAGTACCGGAAGGGAAAGAAAGTAAATTTTTATCTTATGAAAGTTGTAAAAACATACGACCAAACCTCTTTTCTAAAGAGATAAATTGTTTGTATCTTTGAAATTTCATTATGCAAACGTAGATTTCGAATTGTTTTATGATTTCCTGGTTACATTTTCTCCATGTCGAAATTTGCGATTGGACCATGTGGTATTAGTCATGTCACAAGTGTCAGCTTGGGGTATTCTTATCCAAACAGTTATCAACCAAAGGGCAATTAACACCTATTTAATCACTCTAAACTGCCTCTATTGTCCGACTTGAAGGGATTACAATTAAAGATGATATAATTTTTATGATCACAAGCGGTAATTAGATGAGAGTTCAAAATTTAGGACATGGTTTTGCGATATAGAGACAATAAAATAGCATCCTCAAAATAATCATAGCGACGCGGAAATTATTATAGCATCACGGGAAAAAAAAAATATAGCGTCTCAGTGCCGAGACGCTAAAACGGCCTGGGGAGAACACTGTATACCTCAAGAAAATGCAAGAAAAAGCAAATGTTTAGGAGCTGATAGAGTTCCTACTGATGCCAACTTACATGATAGTAATATTTTTATGTACATATAATAAAGTATTCATAAAAATCATATTACCAGATATTTTTGGAGCTTGAGGCTGTTTTGGTGGTCTACTACTACTGCTACTACTAATAGTAGTACTAGTATGTGGTTCATGTCTCTCTTTTTCTCGTTTGTGAATACTGAAAAATACATACAATAAAATAAAATTATTGCAGAATATATATTAATTGTGTGGTAAGCTTAAATTAATAACAAAATAATTCTAATTCTATATAAAAACTCATAGTACCTTCTCTTTCTTGTACTATATTTTTTAAAATTTCTGCCAAGGAATAATTTGATTTAATTCTTAATGTTCGACTGAAAATGAATAACCTGCAAAAAGAAATATAACAAAAATACCAAACTCCAAAGAAAATTCAAATCAGAAAGTCCCTTATCAAATGGCAAAAGCAAAAGCTCAAACACATCAAACGAATGGAAAACAACTGTCGTATTCCTGACTTGGTACATGCATTTCCTTATGTAGAAAATGGTTGATTAAACCTGGTTTTATAGCTAGCTAAACCTCTCACTTGTATGACAGTCACATAAAATTCCAGAAACATACCAGAAATGCAGAAAAGATTAGTTGCTGGTTTTTTTGTATTTGTTAATTCATTGACAGAATTCTCCTACTATTATTTAGGAAATGTACAAAAGTATGCATCAGGTATCCTGCTCAAAGATGTTTTTAATACTCAAGCACCAAAATGATTATAAGTTAGACAATTAAGAATATATATTGAAACTTTACAAGGTGTATATGTACTGTGGATTTATTATTATTTGTAGGATACATATTTCGTGAAAAGGGTTGACCCAAGAATTAAAATTTTTAACAAAGTACAAATTTTTTATCAGGAAGTATGCAGGCTTTGGCAAAACCATGAAATCAATTTTTCCTTCCTCAATCCACGAAAAGAAACAAATCTGCAGTACATTTCTATCTCTCTTTTTATCAATCACCTGGTTTCTAGATAGTATCAGCTCAATACTTCAGCTGCATGTACATGTAAAATATGAATTTTTTTTATTTCTCATGAAAAATTATCACATGATATTAAGCATATCATCTAGCACTTTTAGCATGAAATTGGTGAGTTATGCATTTTCATTGCTTTTACTCATCTTGTCCATGGATAACACTATCTGTTTTCAACATTTCTATGGAATGCCACATTGGAAATTATTCTGACAAGTCTCTCTTCAACTATTTATTACACTGATTTGAGATTTTGTATTTAGAATAATATTGGTAAGTAATATGATGTGATGTATCTTCACAAACAAAATGTGCCATGTGATTTACAATTTAGGAAAAGCATACTGATAAACTGTTAAAAAATATAAAGAAACTATACGTTCTCAATGTATTGCTTATCATAGTAAACTATAATTCTTAATGAAGTTTCAACCAGTCAACTTTTAAAGAGCAATTATATAATCTAGTAAATTATTCAAAACAAAATGCTCTGTTTAATAAATTATTTAATTGAAAAAAAAATGAATCTATTAATGCTGTTTGCAGCTATCATATAACAACCTTTTAGGTGATCCAGATCTCGATCTGTGTCTCTCTCGCTCTCTTCGTGGTGATCGTCTTCTGGGAGATCTTGACCTGCTTCTGTGACCTATATTATAAGGAAATATTAAATTCACAAAGAAGTTTCATACAATTCTGCAAATTTGGTTTGGTATAGCCATTCCAAAAGATACATTTTTTCGTATAAATTGCAACATATCTGACTGCACATGCTGTCTGTGACAAAGTTAATACAATGCATAGAAAAATGAAAGAACCTTAGTGAGCGCGCTCACATACCCCACGTCCCCACATTGTCATTGGAGAAATAAAATAAGTGTAAGAAAAAAATATTGTATCAGAAAAAAATATTGAATCATAATTTCCTGTCAATATGCACATCTACATAGTATGTCCTTATTATCTACACAGTTTCATGAAATTCTGTTGTGTGGTTTGAGAGGAGTTGCGATGACAAAAGGTTGCAGTAGTATATTGGGCAAATAAGTTCAAAGGGGCGTAACTCCTGGAAAAAAAATTGAATCGTATTTCCTGTCGATATGCACATCTACGTAGTATGTCCTTATTATCTGAAAAGGTTTCATGAAATTCTGTTGTGTGGTTTGAGAGGAGTTGCGATGACAAAAGGTTGCAGTAGTATATTGGGCAAATAAGTTCAAAGGGGTGTAACTCCTGGAAATAAAATTGAATCGTAATTTCCTGTCGATATGCACATCTACGTAGTATGTCCTTATTATCTGAAAAGGTTTCATGAAATTCTGTTGTGTGGTTTGAGAGGAGTTGCGATGACAAAAGGTTGCAGTAGTATATTGGGCAAATAAGTTCAAAGGGGCGTAACTCCTGGAAAAATAATTGAATCGTAACTTCCTGTCGATATGCACATCTACATAGTATGTCCTTATTATCTGAAAAGGTTTCATGAAATTCTGTTGTGTGGTTTGAGAGGAGTTGCGATGACAAACTGTTGCAGTAGTAAATTAAAGTAAATAAGTTCAAAGGGGCGTAACTCCTAGAAAAAGAATTGAATCGTAATTTCCTGTCGATATGCACAACTACATAGTATGTCCTTATTATCTAAAAAGGTTTCGTGAAATTCTGTTGTGTGGTTTGAGAGGAGTTGCGATGACAAGAAACAGGACTGACGGACTGACGGACGGACAGACAGACAGACGGGTCAAAAACATTATACCCTCCGCAACTCGTTGCGTGGGGTATAATAAGTGAAAGGCTTGGTTTAACTCATAATTTCATAGTTTTAAATGTAGTTATAAATTTATTCTTCTTTTTGTAAGTTTATAGGGTGTAAAAGTGTTGAATGTGCACACATTTTTTTGTATGAATATTCCAAAGATTTTCCATGCTTCATACAAAAGGTGCTTAAGTCAAAGCTTTTACACCCCTATAAAATTAAAAAAGAAGCATTAAATTCTTAAATAAAATTCTTTGACATATCTGACTTGCTGGGTTGAACATAAAGCCAAATGTGTAATAGAGTAATGAAAACAAAGAAGAAAACTAAACAACCGAGAGAAAAAGATAAGACCTACACGGTGCATATGATAAAGTTTTAAACAAACCAATAAATCATATCAAATATATTAATAACAGCTTAGTACAAAAATGTATCTTATAGAATGGTGTAATTAGTAATTTCTGGGGAGATGCAGGTGTTGATAAGTAGGCATATCTTAAAAGAGATATTCATCTAAATACTTCATTGAAATTAAATGTATATGTGAATTATAGTCATGGTGATAAGCATATCAAAAGTTAATTGTGGTCTTTTCGTTCTAAGTATAAACATTTAAATCAATCATTTTATAATTATGAAATATGGCTATTCTGTGCATTTTACATCTGTTTTTTAATGAAAGTGAAAAGATGTTTTTCAATGCATATTTAACAATAAAATTAAAAGGCATCATGAGGTGCAGCATCAATTTCCCATGCAACTTACTTTATACTTATATAATATATTTTTGAATTTGGAAAGGTGCCATGATATAATAATGTGCCCAAGATTGGTCATCCCTGAATTAACATTTATATACAGTTTATGATTTTTATCTGGATGAAGATAAAATATTGATGAATCTGATTTGAAAATAAAAGCTCTGGATTCAAACAATTTTTACAGTGTGTACTGTAAGCAATAACTTGTAATATGGCATATTGGTCAGCACTATAAAAGATACTCCATTATGTTTACATAATTATACAAAACTAAATATTAAGTCAGTGTTATCGGTATAAATGCAAGAAAGCCTAAAATTCTTACGATGTCTTTCTCTGTCTCTAGATCTTGATCTTTTTCTATCTGAAATCATATCAAATAAACAAGTAGAGAAAGGGAATTAACTCCAGTATTAAAAGAAGTACTCTATTTTTTTCTATAGGTGATTTCCCTTGTATATAATTTAATGCATACTGCCTAAAAAACATACAATTAAAAAAAATTCCACCTACATGTACCTGAATCTTCCTACATCAATGATTGTATACAAGTATGTAGCAATACTGCACTTTTTAAATTTTTTAAATGTTTACATGGTTCAGTATTTCAGTTTGTCAGCACATGTCCATCAGTTAATTAGGTCTTTCCACTTTTCTGTGGAAAGACCTATTGTATTTGTTCTGATTATTATTATTATTATTATTATTTTTTTCTTCCGCCTAATTTTGTTCTCGCGTAAAATTTTTGTTTCGCAAGATGTCCCTTAGATATTTCTTATATAGTATCATACAGTTTATGCGCTTTTTATTTTCACCCATTCTAAGCCGAACAATTTTCTTTGTAGGAGTTATCTCCCTGAACACTGTTTTCCTTGTGACTGCATCTCCTCCGTAACCGTAAAAGAAAGCGACAAATTTATTTTACCAAATGGCTCACTATATCCTCAGGATTTGTTGTCCAATTTTGACGGAAGCGATACGAAGACTCCATATGAGAGTTATTTCCCCTAATGCATTTGAAATAAGTGATATGCATTTGTAACTGGTAAACCATAAGTGATAGAGACCTAGGGTCTGTTGATTTGAGGTCCTTGGTCCTAAAGAATAGAAAACTAGGTCAAGGTCAAAGATCAAGGTCATGTTGTGATTTTTTACATTAAGTTCATATCACTTCTTCCTAGAAAGAGTTATAGATATCGACAAAACAATTTAACCAAAAAGTTTGTCGCGACACGCGTTTACTAGAAATTTTTGGTCGAAATGGTACGCGTCATTTTATTGCAGGGTCAATGTCCCTGTTATGGTCGAATCAACAAATTACTTATCAAAACTTCAAACTTTGCAGCTATCATGTTGTAAATGTTTCTTATCTCAATAATGAACCACAGTCTACCACTACACTCCCCCCCGCTTTTTTCAACTGATTTTTTTTTAAGTTATCCCATTTCAAAGAAAAGAAGATCGCTTTTAGTCCCGTACATTATACTGTAAAATGCTAATCCTTCTTATGTACAAATTTCTTTCTGTAATAGAAATCCACCCCTGCAAAAATCTGCTCCAATTCATGTATTTTCTGAAATTAATCGATGAGACACGTGCGGTCCGCTTGATTGCGAAATTAAAATCAATGTATTACTGAAATCCTACAATCAAATTTCTAAACATGCATTAAAATACAAATTTGTGCTCCCGTAAACATGTGTACGTAATATGTATGCGTGATCCGACATCAATGACCTGTACAAAATAAAAACAATAGTTATCGTGTTTCTCTGATCAATACACATGTGCTCTGTTCGATATATTCGAGCGTCACGTGACTTCAAAACATCATCACGCGCGCGGACCTAAAATTAGAATAAAACATTCGAGATCCATATCCAAATATGGAAAGTGAAACTTCCAAGACAAAATGTTACTCATTTTTTTTCTTCCTACAAGTTGAAACAAAATGTACACACAACACATAAAAGAAACCATGAAGTATCAGTTCTTGTAGCAAATAGAGAAAATTAGAAAAAAAAGAAGATGTTATGATTTTTATTTATTAGGAAATCCTGAAGCTGTCCGTTTGGGAGTGCGGGATATACAAGTACGCAGCCTCGTCAGAATATGAACGTCAAGTCCGATGCCTCGCATAGAGAGAGTGTCATGCAAACTTTCAATCAATCAATCAATCAATCAATCGACCAACCAACCAACCAACCAACCAACCAACCAACCAACCAACCAATCATGTTTCGGAGGGGAAAGACCGTTTAACAATTGTTTTTAAAACAATTGATTTATATTTTTAACTTGATTTTATTTGTATTGAATTTACATTTTGTAACATATATTAGTTGACTAAATAACTTCATCTATCAACTCATTTGTGTATATCAGGTTGTAAATCAAACAGAGGAATCACCTGTGTCAGCATGTGCCACTACTTTGTAATGTTTTGACTTTTCATCCTAGTTTCGTATATGTATTGTAATTGATTTCATAAATTATACATGTAGCTTTATGTTTAACAAAATTTCAGCTCTAGCTTACAAGGGTTCTCAGTTCTTACAAGGATATTTCAGGATGAGTCCTGGAACTCATCACTTTTTGAAGTAGTGGGTCCAAGCTGATCTGATAATTCCATAGTAGAGTCATTTATATACATTGTACATTGTAGCTCTGATCTGAACTGTCTTTTATGGCAAATTGGGCTTCAATCACAAGATTAATGAAATGCTAATAATTCATTTTGGAATCTCTCAAGATTTACCTTTATGCAAAGTAAAAAATTAAAATGGAAGTCAATTTGGAAACGAGACATTTAGGCCATGGAACCAGTTCAGTCTTGCTTTGTCTTGGCCTTGGTTACTTTAGCCATACTTTTATTTTATATTGCAGTTGTTAACGTATTTGAATTTTTTTTTCAAGTTTGTACATTCATCTCTTGATAAGTAGTATTTAAAAGTCAATTAGGAGTTGATTGCTTATACAGACTTTTGACTGTTCTAAAAGATGCTGAAATCACACACTCATTTTGAGTCTATTCCTTTGATATTATTTCAAAACACACACCTGTGTCAATCATTTAGACACTTATTTCATCCAGTTAGATAAACATATCTGTGTAGTCGTATTGATTTTCTGTTAAATAATAATAACTATCACATCCATTAAAACAACATTATTATAATATTTTAAAGCAAAACTAAAATATATACATTGATGTGTTAATCATAGATATTTACACAAGTAATTACAATCATGGACATATTTATGTTTTTGAATTCTACATGTTTTTTTTCTCTTTTTAAACGTCAACGTACTGCATTACATGTATCTGATCTGATCAGTAACCTATTGTTCTGGTAAATCTGATTATTGTTACTTAATGATGAGCTATGTGTAAATTGTCCGTGTATATCAGCGTTCATTCATTTTAGTTTTGAAAAATCAAAAGGAAAACCCATTCCACCTTTTATACTGCAAATTTTCTATTCATATTTTTAGGTGCTACACAGTTGCTGATCATATATTTCCTTAAGCCACCCCTACTACATTAAAACTGATTATGTTATGAACACACTTTGAGGCGATCACTGACATCAATTATGATAAACTCATTTCTCAATATTTATTTTACAAAAATCAAACCAAAAAATATTTGTTCTTTTTCACCGGAATATTTATCAACAACACGATTTTCACAGAAAACATAACAATTTAAGTCCACAAAAGTAAGAGGCCTTTTCTAGGATGAACCTTTAAAAGCAGAATTAAATACAAAGTGATAACAAACTAGAGGCTCCCAAGAGCCTGTGTCGCTCACCTGATTCTACTTTGGTTTTAGAAATCATGTAAAAATAGATTAAAATCATAACAGATACCTTAATAATGATTGAGGCCAAATTTGGTTTTATATTTGCCCCGTAATTTAATAAAAAGTCCTGGTGGCCATCTTGAACAGTAAATGGGCAACAAAGTAGCAATACTTCATGCACCTCATAAGGAACATTTATGCCATGTTTGGTTTCCTTCCATTCAGTGCTCCTCTAGAAGAAGCATTTGTATGTATTTCCCATAGGGTCTTATGTTAAACTAAGTCCCCTGCTGGCGGCCATCTTGGATGATGGTTTGGCTAAAAAGTAACAACACTTGGTCAGCACCTCATTAGGAACATTCATGCCATGTTTGGCTTCATTCTACTCAGTGGTTCTCTAGAAAAAAACATTTGTATGTATTTCCCATAGGGTCCTTTGTAAACTTACTCCCCCTGCTGGCAGCCATCTTGGATGACAAATCAGCTACAAAGTAACAACACTTGATCAGCACCTCAAAAGAAATATTCATACCATGTTTGGTTTCAATCCATTAAGCAGTTTTCTAGAAGAAAACATTTGTATATATTTCCCAAAGGGTCCTTTGTTAAACTAAGTCCCCTTCTGGCAGCCATCTTGGATGATTGGTTGGCTACAAAGTAACAACACTTGTCAGCACCTCATAAGGAACATTCATGTCATGTTTGGTTTCATTCCATTCAGTGGTTCTCTAAAAGAAGACATTTGTATGTATTGTCCATAGGGTCCAATGTTAAACTAAGTCCCAACTAGTGGCCATCTTGGATGATTGATTGGCTACAAAGTTACAACACTTGGTCAGCACCTCATAAGGAACATTCAAGCTATATTATATTTCATTCTATTCAGTGGTTCTCTAAAAGAAGACATTTGTATGTTTTTCTCATGGGGTCCTATGTTAAACTAAGTGCCTCTCTGGCTGCCATCTTGGATGATGGATCTGTTTCAAAGTAACAACAATTTTTCAGCACCTCATAAGGAACATTCATGCCATGTTTGGTTTCATTCCATTCAGTGGTTCTCTAAAAGAAGACATATGTATGTATTGCCCTTAGGGTCCTATGTTAAACGAAGTCCCCGCTAGGCGCTAGCGGCCATCTTGGATGATTGATTGGCTACAAAGTTACTACACTTGGTCAGCACCTCATAAGGAACATTCATGCTATGTTTTATTTCATTCTATTCAATGGTTCTCTAAAAGAAGACATTTGTATGTATTGTCCATAGGGTCCTATGTTAACCTAAGTCCCCCGCTGGCGTCCATCATGGATGATGGATCAGCTTCAAAGTAACAACACTTGGTCAGCACCTCATAAGGAACATTCATGCCATGTTTGGTTTCATTCTATTAAGTGGTTCTCTAAAAGAAGACATTTGTATGTATTGTCCATAGGGTCCTATGTTAAACGAAGTCCCCCGCTGGCAGCCATCTTGGATGATGGATCAGCTACAAAGTAACAACACTTGGTCAGCACCTCATAAGGAACATTCATGCCATGTTTGGTTTCATTCCATTCAGTGG